CCCCCCCCCCCTGGGAATGGCGAAGATGTTCTTCTGGCGAGAGAGCAAACCAACTGCATATTTTGCGCTGATCATCTGTCGCTCCAGTGATACCGCTGTACAGTCGTGGGCCCGGTTTAGCGGTCCATAGTGTCACGAAATTGATAACCGCTATTCAGGGCATCGCCGCTAAACGATNTACCGCTGTACAGTCGTGGGCCCGGTTTAGCGGTCCATAGTGTCACGAAATTGATAACCGCTATTCAGGGCATCGCCGCTAAACGATTTTAGCGGTCATTAACCGCTAAACCAGGAGGCTCAATAGCGGTCATGAACCCCTAAACCGGAAAAAGACCATCTTCGCCCTGCAAGAACAGCGTCGATAGCTCATCTTGATAGGGCCATGTGTTTCATTGCAGCGGTCATGCGAAGGTGCAGATGAAGAAGTAACGAGCCGAGTAAGGACAACGCCGCAAGCACATTCATTAAAAGTGCATTTTATTTTCGCCACAGCACGCAGAAATTATTCTCCCTTCTGGACTGTATGCCCCTCATCGAGACTGGAAAATCGTTCGCGTCTCTAACGAAGTGAAGGTGATGAGACAAACTTATGACAACGCAATGGCAATCAACCAAGTGCTTGAGCATCTCATTTCTGCCATGTGTCGCGTATCGATAATTCTTAACCCCAAATAATCTCTCTAGTATCTGCCTTGCGCGCTGGAGGGAGCGGCGTGCGCTGCGAGGAACGCCATGTTTGCCTTGCGAAATAGTGTGCTGGTTCGTTTTACGCCACACCACTCCGCGCTCTCCACGCTGGCCAAAATCCGATGATAGCTCCGAGTATGGTGGCGGCGCCATCATCCCGCTGCCCTTCGTACCATGAACTGGTGCCGTGGTGTCTAGCCCTAGGTCTACGTCATTCGCGTCCTTTTATGCAAAGCTTCGGCGATCTCTTCCTGTGCGCACTATTTCTGAGTGCGCTACCTTCTGGTCAAGAAGCTTCAAAACCTCGAGCTTCTAGCCATATTAGAGCCGCGTGTGGGGCTGTTGGTGTGTAGCTGCAGCGCGAGTTGTTTCTTTCCGCGCGCGTGGTGCTAGAAAGCCACCTTCCTCCTCTTGGCGCTTGGGCGGATTTGACAAGTGAGGGGAACTCTGCGCCTTCTTGGTTGCACGCCGGTTGCATCTCGTGGTCATCCGGATCCCCCACCTCCCCACGCATGCCGTGTATGCGGCCGCCACAGCAACCTTCACAATCGTGGGCGCCGTTTGGACTCAGTGCCGCACCTAGAAGCTTGCACAGTTCTCCATCCATGCGCCGCATGGCGTGTCTTTACTATACGCATCGACCGCGGTTGACCAATGAAAAGACGTCGTCGTCAGTCTCAGCGCGGTTGAAAACACAAAACACTTCTATACGTCATTAACTGGGACCCCGTGAGGGGGCGGCATGGGGCAGGCAAACGCTATTCCCCGGATTAAGACAGAAACGGTAGCAACAGAGGAAAAATGCTACCTTGCACTCGAGTTCGTTTTGGAGTGATTTCACCATCATCCTGCTTGCTTTCACCACCATCGCTCTCATCGTCGTTTTTCCAGCTATTTTCGCCAATTCTCCTCTAGCCCTGCGTCGTTTGGTGTGTGTGTGTGTGTCGCTGTGTCCTTTTTATTATGAACATCGACCAGCTAACGGGCTGACCAATGTCGCTGTGCTGTGAGTATGTGTAAGCGAAGCGCGCAATAGGTCCACGCAAAAAATTGAACCGATAACCGCTATTGGTGGCTGAAAACATGTCCAATAACCGCTATTGAGGGCACGATCGGTTTAGCGGTTGTACAACCGCTAAACCGGGGTGCAGCCGTGTCACGAGGTTTTATAACCGCTATTCAGGACATCCCGTTAAACAGGGAACCGCTAAACCGGGCCCACGACTGCATGCATATCATACTGACGTACGAGACATCAGCTGCAGCATAGCTTCAACCCGTGTGTATTGCAACATATGCACGAGCGATAGCGGTATAACCTATGTGCTGGGTATTTGCGTGCACGCCGCACAAGACCGCACGAACTGTAGCTCTCTCGCACACACTCCTTTCGAGCCGAGCAAACTACAATACACATACATGCGTGTGGTAGCTGTGCCGAACGCTCAACACAGAAGAGCCTTTGGCAGATACAGCATGGGCTGGGGAGGCGCTGCTTTGACGTATTTTCGCCCCGCCAACCCATGTGTACGTTCCACTCGCCACGCGCGATACGAAGCAGTTGTCGAGATGTCAAGACCAGACGCCCAGGCAGCGGCAAAGAAGATGTACGACCAGCAGGTGGGGATATGTTCTCGCACACCCGCAAGCATCGAGCACATGGGTACCACTACTCCTGTAGTTGGGTTTTGTTGAAAAGGAATAACCGCTGGACTTTTAGTGGGTGCCGATTGGTAGCCCAGTGGTCATCATGCCTTTCGTGGCTTTACAGCTGTAGGCGGACTCCGGTACTAGCTTTTTTTCTGTAGAAATATACAAACAAGCAAAGAGCTATGTGTATGCATACATGTACATGTACTGTACCCTTTGTTGAAAGCACGATGGCCGCTGGACTACCGTACTAGGCAGCGCTGACTGGTAGTAGCCCAGCGGTCATCGTGCTTCTTGGCAGGTTTCGACCAACAACCCATCCGCCTCGACACATCACCACAGTACGGTCTCCTTCCCTTCTCCCCTCTTCGCACCTGATCACCGTGCGAATGCTCGTATCTCCTGCTTTCCAAGGTTCCTGACATGAGCGCAGACATCCTCCGCCAGGCGATGGCGATGGGCCCAGTCGGCAAGACCGAGCTCACGCACCAGGTGGGGGGTCCCTCTCTATTTCAAGTTAGTCTTAATGGTCGTGGCGGCGTTGGCTGCTACAGCAATAATTGAGTGCCACCTACCCCTCAACAGCACTCAGTTGTGGCGGTGACTTGACCCTCGGAACTATGGGAAAGCGTGTGAGGCACTCGTGTATAGCAGTTCGACATGTCAAGAGTGAGACGACTGCGAACTAAACTCAACACAAAAGAAAGGTGGAACGCCGTTTTGTGCTTGAACCTACGTATGCTTCCGTATGCGTGTGGGTGGACGTTGGGGGGTGGTGGAGCGCGTTCTCGTGTCGACTGCGCCAAGTCTCTTTTTTGCTTGCCCTTGTTTGTTTGCGTTCTCTGCCTATGATGTTACGGCGTAGCCCTCCCCCGACAGGATCCTCTCCGCTCTCTGAAACTTCTTTCATTGCTCGCTTTCCTATTCTCCACCATTTTCGCTTTGGCCTTCCGCCGTGTCTCTCTTGTCTGCTGTCTGAAAACCTCCACTCCTTGGCCTCGTGATCCTTTCACTCCACCCCCCAACATGAATAGCAACGGATTCCTACAGGTAGTGTACATCCAATTTGGCAATCATGGGGTGCCCGAAAGATGTCCGCGATGGTGCTGTTTCTGTTCATGCGTGGCCAAGGGTAACATGGCGCGGTCAATGGCACCACGACCAATTCGAACAATAGTGAGTACCGCCCTTACAAACGCCCTTTTCTTTTGCAGAAACTGGTGCCCGATGCGTCTGAGGTGGTAGCGAGCAAGACTCCCCGGCCATTACCGAAGGACCGAACAAGGGCGATCGCGAAGAGCGGCGAGGTGGATGCCGAGAAGGGCTTTCTCACACAAACTCAGCTCGCGGCGTTCTTGGAAAGGTATGCCATGTCTTCATGTTAAGTTTATTGTGACGCATTTTTTTTCTTGGTCGCGACAGTACTTGCTTATGCCGAACGAAACCTGTGTATTGCTTGTCTTGGGCACAGGACGCAAGGCAGCACTCTTTGGGACCCTGCGGTTGAGAACTCCAAAGCTCGTTTTTTCTTGACACCACAGGGGAGGTTGTGAAGAGTCGCAGGCAACATTGAGAAGTCCTCTCCGTGGTGGCATATGCTAACATATTGACTGTCCGATAAAGCCAGAAACACTGGAGCCGTCGTTTCGCGTGTAAAACGTACGACGCGCTTGGCGCGGTGGTTGAGGCGGCCTACAATATCGCAATGCCTTGTGACGGGAGCGGAGCCCGCCCACGCTCGGTTTCTTCGGATGTGTATCCAAGTACATGAATCGTGCTGCTGCTGATATTCATGATGGTGGATGTCCCGACGTTATTCACCTACCGGCCTCTCGCGCTAAGTATCTCCATGCTGATCGTTGCGACACAAAAACACAATAGACAGCGTTGAAGTATGACGCCAAGTATCTCCATGCTGATCCTAACAAAAGAAACAAAAGAAAATATATTCAGAACGTTTAAAGATGACGGCGGTGCCTTGATTTCTTTCGCAGGAGGGTGGCAAATGGCGCCGGTGCTCCTCCCCCGGCAGGCCTACTGGAGGAGTTCCATGTCTCGGAGGAGGACGCGGCCGTGCTGCTGCGCTACTGTCGAGCGCCGGACATCCGCATGTACGAGGACGTCATGACCGCGCGATGGCACTGGCCCACCGGTGGCGGGGAGAGCGGGTCTGAGCTCAAGTCGTCGTCCTGACGGCGACGAGTGTCGACGAAGTTGTGTCTGTCCGCGTGGCGTGGTTTGCGGCGTGGTCCGTTCCGTTTGTCGTCAGGTTTAGGTTTCGTGTCAGCGAGGAGGGGCCATCGCGGTGTCAATCGAGCTCATGGCCGCCTGTGTTTTTTCGCAGCTTTTGGTGATGAACAAAAAAGAGAAGAGGACCAGGCATTTTTTCACCTTGGCTGCTTGACTGTTGCTTCCTTCTAGTATATTTTCGTGTCTGCCTACCTGACCGTGCCGGGTAAATCGCTGGTTCCTTGTTGGTTGCACGACGAGATTCTGCTGCCAACCCAAGCGTAGTTTCCGCCACAAGCGGGTATTGGCGACAGCGAGTGTTCGAGCGAGGGATATCCCGGGCGTTTCCTCGCTTCCCACAAGGGCAGCTTCATTTTTTGAACGCAGGTTTTTAGCGCAGCGTTTTGTGAATGAAGAACACAAACACTTTTTTTTACGATGTTTTCGTCAACACTCAAATGAAAACACAGGTGCACGAGGCCCAGCTCGGCAAGCCCACGCAGAGAAACAGTCAAGCTTGGTTGGAAATTCGGCTCTCTGACCGCGCACAATCCGCGCGCGTTTGGGTTGTGTGCCAAACATCTCAAGCATACGCGCTGGTCAACCCCCAAAAGCAGGTGTTACAACGTTCATGGCACTCCGTACTCATGTGTGAGCAAGGAAAGCAATTATCTCCGCGAAATACTCGACCGCGATACAAACCGAAGAACGCCGGACACGGCGAGAGGCTATTCTCGACAGAAATTCCGATACCAAACAATTCAACAAGAAACTCTAATTCAACAATCCCCTCCCGTTCCGGTCTTCCACAGTACTGGCGTCCCCCCGATCATGGCGTGCAAACGTCAATGAACGAGTGCACCCATGCATGCGGGTGGCTCGCGTTCCCAGCCTGTGGGGAACATGTGTTATGTTTCTTGATCACAAGAGCTCTCTGTACGGCCCTAAAATCGATGCGCGGATCATGGCAGAAAAACTATCGGCGACGACCGACATGGATCACCAGAAATCTCACGAGAGAGCCAAACAGACGCGCGCTGTCGTCGCAAAATATACCTGAAATCAAACCTAGGTCTACGGTCTAAGGTCTAACGAAACAGCTGCATCAGGAGCAGCTGCACAGCAAAACAAGTCAAAATATCTTGAACCGCCCCAGCTCAAGGGAGGGGAGCATCGGGGTCGAATACACTCAAAAAGAGTCTGAAACCTATCGCCTTTTCCTCTCTTCCTTGTTTGTTTCCCATCTGGGGCAACGAAACACGCAAACTTAGACGCAAAAAAATCTTGGAATTGCTGGCGCGGGCATCATCGGCCACCGTACCGTACTACAACACGGAACGACCCATCCGTACCGGTACGCCAGATCCAGCCCCAGGCAGGAAGGTAGGCACGTTCCCAAAGGGCGAACAAACGTCCCCGGCGCCTAAGCACGCCGTTTCTAATACCAACGACCAACCCGCCGATCTCTTAGTACCCTCGCCCGGAGTAACCCCCGCCCCCACCCGCTCTTCCCTGATACCCCCCGTAGTCACCGCCTCCCCCTCTGCCCTGGTATCCCCCGCCACGGCCACCGCCGCCCGTTCGGCCGCCGCCGTTCCGCCCGCCCCCACCCATCCGGCCCCCTCCTCCTCCTCCTCCTCCTCCGCCTCCGCCGGCAGAGTTGCTGGCGCCAACCTTGACAAGCATGCTTCGTCTGTTTCGGGACGGAGTGGGATGGGATAGAGAGCGGGAGGCAGAGCGAACGAAGGGAGCGGGGGTCTTTGGTGGTTTCGGAAACGAAGCACCAGAAAAACTTCTGTCATGTTGAGTGAAAACATGATTGAGCGAAAACGTGCAAACGCAGACGCTTTTGCGTCTGTAGTGTTGGGGCTCGGAGGAGAAAGGAACGGGAGACCATGGGGAGACAGGTCGTATTTGCGTGTGTTGTAAGGTCACTGGCGATTCAACACACGCACCTCCGCCACGTGCTTCTTGAAGATTTCGATAACACCTATTTAGTCACGTTCACGTTCTCAACAGGAAAGAAAATGCAGAGAGGTGTCTACGTACACGCGGCGACCCGCCGCCATGAGCGGCGTTCCCCGCCCCACACGGAAGGCACCACGTCGAATAAACTCATAGCCTGAGCGCGAGTTCACCTTGATCGCATTTCCAAGACATTCGTTTCACGTGCGCAGCAACGTTTCGAAAAATGCCAGGCGCCACCTTTGGCCTCCCACTCCCTCTGTGTTGCGCTATTCCAATCTTCTTGGTGTACGATACTCCTGCGGCGATCCCGGGGTGCTGTTAACGTCGGGACGCAAAGCCAAGTCTGCATCCGACGGCGCCATGGTTCCGGACAGATCGGTGCCGATACTTGTCCCCAGACCCCACCACAAAACAAACAGAATCCCGCAACACACGATTCGTGGCATGCACGGCATCAGAAGATCCCGTGGTCGCCCGAGAAAAATGGATCCGGTGGTGGCGACGGACGGGTAGTTGGCTTGGCACAGACGACGAGAAGGTATGTAGGTGGAACCAAACGCTTACTATCGCTCACCCCTGAATCTCGATGCCGTTCAGCGCCTTGATCGCCTTCCGGCCGTCCTCCTCGGTGCCCATCTGCCGGTCGTCACCAGGGTTCGCACCGGTTCCCCCCCGAAAATACACAAACAGTACGAGCACCGCAGCACCGCGGGTTCCATTATGGTTCACGACAACAGCAGGGGAGGCCCGCAGAATTCGGGGGGGTATGCGGTGGGGTGTGTGGGTGTGTGAGAACATGTCGCTTCGTTTGTATATAGTCAAAGGTAAGCTACAAATGGAGCTGTGCCAAATGAAGTCCGTGCTTTGCAGCACAGCGAAAGTAACCAAGACAAAGGCACCACCACAGAACAACAAAACACACCCCCCGCAAAAGCGACGCAAGCAAGCCACGTTCATGACAAAAAAAGACACGTACACACTCCCGCTCGCTCAATAACCCGGATTCTTCCGCACCTTGACCGAGCCGTAGCCCCTCGAGTCGCCGTTCTCGTCCGTGACGAGAGCGGTGCTCTTGACCTCGCCAAAGTTGCCGAAGATGGCGCCAAGGTCCTAGGCGCGCGTCGTAGCGTGGGGCGGGGGCGACACGACGACAAAACGCCATCGCGACGTGAAGAATTAGGCGGTCGGGGG